GATATACAGCTACTTTCTCTTATTACAGTGAATAGAAATATTTTTTCTAATAGTGTCTGTGGACAGGATATCATGTCTGCATCTTGTACAATGAATAACCACTAAGACAACAATATGCAATGTATTAAATATCAAAATTGTCCTAGTAATCAGTTTTGAAATTGTCTCATTGCTATTTGTTTCTCAATAAAATTATTTTTTTAAAAACGCAACAAAAACAATCTGAGTGGAAAAACAATAATCAGAACCAAACTTCAGGTACACCACAAGTGTTAGAAGCAACAGACAAATGAAAACATTTAATGCTTTGGATAAATAATATCATTTTAGAGAGTTTAAACATGTACAATCTCGATTAGTAAGAACAATGGTAAGCAAAATGCAATTAAGAATTTATTTTGGTTAGCCTCACAAATGAGAGAACTTTTCTCTTATTCTACGAGTATTCTTGTGTTCTTTGATTCTACATGGTAAAAAAATTCTTCCCTTTAAAAATTATTGCTATTTGTTTCTCAATAAAATTATTTAAAAAAATAGTTAAGATAGATATGCAGCTACTTTCCCTTACTGCAATGAGAAGAAAGATTTGTAATAATACCATGTCTGCATCTTGTACTATGAATACTACAAGCATAATAATATGTAATGTATTAATTATTGTAACTGTCCTACTAACCTGTTTTGAGACTGTCTCATTACTATTTCTTTCTCAATAAAATTAATTTAAAAAGAAAAAGAATTAGAGCTGGAGATTTAAGTACTAGCTAGGTATTAGAGAACACCCTTAATATGCCCAAGGCCCTGGGTTTTATTCTCAGCATCAAGGAGAAACAAAACAAGGGAGGAGGATACAAGTGGAAAGGAGACAAGGAAGTAAAGAAAAGAGGGAGAGAGGTCAGAAGAGAGAGAGGAGAGAGACAGAGAGAGAGAGACAGACAGAGACAGAGAGACAGAGAGACAGGGAGAGACAGAGAGACAGAGAGAGAGATAGAGAGACAGAGATAGAGACAGAGACAAGAGAGAGACAGAAACAGAGAGAACCATTGACAAATGAGAAAAATTGCAATCCAACCTAAAATTATCTTCTCCAGTTTTGATGAAATTCATGTCTTAATCTACAAGGCTAAACTTCCTGTGATTAAACTTGGCACAATGAAATTTGGCATAACATCAAATTTTATAATGAATACTGGTGGAAGTTTGGCCATTTGGGGGATTTGGGGACTGCTGATCAGACACGCTCTGTGGTTTATTCATGGAATCACCATACTAGCAGATTTGTGTTTGCTTTCCAGGTACAAAGTACAGTCTGTTCACGGAGGCTAGAAGGAGCACAAGAGGAAAATGACAACGATCACTATCAAATTTCTTATTCATTCTCAATAGTTTTATTTTGGGAAAAATCTCTGAAAATGTATACACAATAAAACTGAAATGATGACTATTATGCTTATGGTGAATGACCATAAATATTTTATTTTATCATACTATTCATTGTACCATTAATTACTACACGTCACCTGCCTTGTTCTTTAGTTCCTTTGTGAACTCCCATGGAGCAAAGATTCTATCTTGTAAGGGCTGGTGTTGATGTCTAGATGTTAGTCGAAACTTATTTTCCTTTCTCTGTAACTTAAATCTCATTGTTTTTCTTTCAAAATATTTTTTTCAAGATAATTAAAACAACCACTCCCATTCCATGATTTAATGTAGATATTTTACTTCCTGCCTGTTGCTCTAAAGTCTTATTTGTAACATTCATGTTTTATTTGAATCTTATTCTTGGAATTTGCTTATACATGCACTCATTCATTCTTTCAAAAATAATTAATACAATACCTCTCAGGTGCCAGTCAGATGCTAGAAATTAAATAGAAAGGTGTGTTAGCTAATTTTAGGCATGAATTTCATTACACAAAGGGACGGCTAAACACTGGTGAAGAAATATGTCTGGATGTATCTGTGAGGACATTTTCAGGTAGGGTTGGCATGTGAGGTCATAAACAGAGTGGAGAAGATACTCTTAATGTGCGCATGCTCTGTCTACTTGTCTGGGGTCCTGGATAGGACAAAAAGGCAAGTAAAAGCAAATTTACTTTTCTTCTTTCTGCTGGAGTTAGGCTCTCCTTCTTCATCCCTTGGAACCTTTCAAGGTTCCCTGGCTTTTGGACTCTGGGACTTGTGACAGAGTCCATTCAGGGTGCTGAGACCATAGGCCAGTGTCCGTGAACCTTACACAGGTCAGTGTTCAAATGGAAATGCAAAACCTACCTGTGTTTCACAAAGTGCCAACATGGAAAAATTAAGCCTGATCACTGAGGTTTTAGTTTAGAAAACAGAATTCATACATTAACATCTTTTCTTGTAAAACAGAAACAACTCACATGCCATAAATTTGCCACCATTGCCTTAGGCATTCAGCTGAGAGCTACACCATCTGCTGCCCTGGGTCTAAGGACATTAAGCTTGGACTTAGTCAGGACACTGGGCTTCCTGAGGCTTCAGCTTTCTGAAGACCTATGACATCTTTGGCTCCATAATTGAGTAAGCAAATTCTCTGACTCAATTATTTCTCTTTTCTGTCATACACACACACACACACACACACACACACACACACACACACACAATTGATTCTTTCTTACCAAAGGAGAAGTTGTACATTGCTCTGGATACAATAAGAAATTTTTTAACAAGCAGTCATATTACAAACATTTTAGAAAAGCTAATCTGCACTGAGCTGGAGTTAGGTGGAGAAAAGAAAGAGCATTTTAGAAGGAAAAAAAGAGTGTGGTCAAAGGAAGGGAGCTGCTATTATATGGTAGAAATGAAGAGACTCTAGCCATATGTTCATCTTTCTTCATAGAAGGAAGCTGATGTTCTTCCATTGTGCCTTTTATTAATACTTATTTTCCACTTTTTATTTCTATCTCAGAAATATCAAAATTTTTAGTTTCCTTTCTAAACACATCTTTCCCAGCTTACCTCCTTGTCCTTTTCTTTCACATTTTCAGAGATTTTCTTTTTTTTTTACTTCATATATCATTATTTGTATTTTTTGAGAACATGTTTCTGAAGGTATATAAGATTTAACGTCAAAACTACTTGTGAAGTTCATTAGTAGAGATACTAAGTTCTGAAAATATCATAGAAGTTTAATATATACTATTGATGATTAAAAACTTTTAAAATTTTATTTATTTTGTCTTGTTTTGAGGCAGGTTTCACTACGTAGTTAAGGCTAGACTTGAGTTCACATTGTAGCCAAGACTCACAGAGATCCTTCTGCCTCCGCCTCCATAGTGTTGGGATTACAGGCACGTGCCACCATGCCCAGCTCAAGAACTTTATTACCAAAAAAAAAAAAAAAAAGAAAGAAAGAAAGAAGAAGAAGGAAGAAAAGAAAAGAGCTAAGTGGGATCAGAAGTGACCACAGGAAAAACAATATGGAGATTATCAATATCATCCCAAGAGATAAAATCCAGGAACAGTAGTAAATGAAGTTCCATCTATATATACCATTTTGACTCACGTGAAGAAGCGAATCTATACTCTACCATCAATCATTATATTCACTACAGGCATAGATTAGTTATTGACGTAAGACTGCTGTTGAGAATCTGATGAAAGTAATGTATGTTTTCCTTAGAAAAGCATGCGGGCTTGGCAATAGCTCAGCCATCTAAGGGCCTGCCTGACAAGTGGAAGTGGTGGTGCACATCTGTAATCCCAGTGCTGGGGAGGGTGAGACAGGAGGATCACTAGGAGTCCGAGCTGCATAGGGAGATCCTGTACCAAATAAATTAATAAAAATTTAAGAAAAAGAAAAGAGAGAAAGAAAATACATAGAAGTGACACACCAGTTCACAAACTCTATTCTTTCCATGATTCTGGTTACAAACCAAACTAGACAAGAACTGAATCAAATTTCCCCATAAGGGCAACATTGGGCCTCACCACTGAATTGGATTCCAAGTTAAGTACCAATTTCCAGCAAATGTACTTTATTTTTTTATAATACTTGAATTTAACGTCTCTTGACATGTGTTTTGTTTTCTATCAAAAGTTCCTGTCATCACTTAAAAAAATAAAGCTATTTCCAGACTGCGTTGCTGGTATTTTGAATCACTCTCTTGTTCTATGAGTATACTTTTTTTTAAATTTCAGAAGCAACTCTAACAGAAACAAGCAGAATCCTTTATCGATGAAAATTTTAAGTTGTAATTCTATTTATAATAGAGTTACCTCCAATAGAAAATGCAATATTCAAGTGTATGTTATTCATTCTCCTTATACTGATAGAGCAGACACCAGCTAATAGAGGAAGACATCTTTTTGTATTCTAGCACAAATAATTGGAACAAAGGAAAAAAAAAATAAAATGAAATCTGATATTTTATCTGACATAAACCTCACTTATTTCAGAGAACAGAAGGGTAAAATAAAACCATATCTATTAAATGGTCTTTATATTTTCAAGTCAAAGCCAACTAGTTTGTCTGAATCTATTTCTGTGAATCTAGTGTAATCTTACTTCAGGTAACATTTTTCAGATAATAATAGCATGCCAATATTTTAAGATCTCCATTTATTCAGCAGTGTTTTCATGGGCAATGGAAAGATGCATTGAATTTGTTAGTTAAATACAATTAAAAAATTCAATTACTAAATTCTGGAAAATATATGAGAACATAAATAAAACGTGTCAAGATTTCATAAATTGGAAGCCAGGGAGACAGCTCAGTAGAATAAGCACTTGCCTGGCAAGCGCAAGGGCCTGAGTTCAGTCCCCAGTTCTGAAAAAAGAAAAAAAAAAAAGAAAAGAAAAAAAAAGGAAAGAAAGAAAAAAGATTCCATAAATCCTCCACAGGGTGAGACATCAGGTTTGAGTAATATTAGATATTCTTTGTTCTCTTTTCTTTTCTCTTTTTCCATGAGTAATATTAGATATTCTTTGTTCTCTTCTCTTTTCTTTTTTCTTTTTCTGTTTTCTTTCTTTATTTGAGATACTAGATGTTTCGCATTAGACTACTGATTTTTCCCCTTTTTCACCTCTACCCAGTTTCGAGTTACAAGTTTTGTTAAAATTTACAATTACCCCAGCAAGTACTTTTTTTTCTATTATATCCTAACTAGGCCTCCCACTCTGTATTTTTCCGGATCATATTTTCCAATACTAACCACATGCGCTAGACCCTAACAATGGCTACTCCATTCTTTATGTTTGTATTTGTTTAATTACACCTTCATAGGTTTATTCATTCTTTCATTATGTGTCCAGTGGAAGAGAGCAGTAAGTCTTCCTGAATTTACCAGAGCTGAGAAGTAACACCACATTGCTTCAACACTGCATTGTTGTATCTTTTTGTTGTCTTAAATATGTGTGTCCTTGACTTCGGAAGCAGAAGGTACACAATGTCCATTGCTACTTAGGGCTTCTAGGTTTGTGTCATCCATGCCTTTTCCTCCATTTTCCATGGCCTTAGTCTCTTTCCCTTCAAGTTTTTTCTTTAAGGCATAAATAAATATGATACAAACAATAACTCCTAAAAGTTTAAAGATAGCAGACAAGCCCAAGTAGGAAGTTCTGTAAAAAGAGAGAAAAAATTATGTCTTACATCGTGTATAATATCTTACAATATTTGTCCAAAATATTGAGTCTTTAAAGAAAAAATGAATACATATGTATATATGTATATATAATATAAAGGCAACTATTCTAGTTATACTTTTTACTTAGGCACATGGAGTTTGTGGTTGTATTTAAGGTTTCATGAAGATAGAGAAACCCAACTCCAGTTGTCTATAGCCTTCTTCCTGGAGGAAAGGAAGTATCCACATCTGTCTTCCTCATAATACAGTCTAACCCATCCATGAGAGGGAAAAACAAATAAGAAGTTCGCAGTCTATATATGTAGGTCTCCAAAAAAGTTTGGAGAGAGAGAGAGAGAGAGAGAGAGAGAGAGAGAGAGAGAGAGACAGACAGACAGACAGACAGACAGACAGACAGACACAGAGAGGACATATGTATAGGTCCTCTAATACCTATAAAATTATAAGTTTAATTATAAGATGATAGAATATTGCCCCTCCTACTACACATTATGGACAGATTACTGACCCTCCTCTTTCACTTTCTGAAAGAATTATTTATGTCAGCAACTTTGAATTTACAGATTATCATGTCTGCCTTTGAGACAAAAATAGGAATAATGCAAAAAAGGCAAAAAATTAAAAGATTCAAGGGAGTTTCCTATGATAAATGCTGCCTGTGTCTAAAATGTGCCAAAAAAATAAAAATTTGACAAGAATGAGAAAGCCTCAAAGCCAGGATGAGATATGATATTGGTGTTACCAGAATACAAATTTGAAACCATGATTAAAATGCTAAGAGATCTAAAGCATAATGCAGACAACCGTGAAGAATGGGTGGCTGAAGTCAGCAGGGCCATGGAATCTTGAAGTCAAAAGAGAAAGGCTGGACATGAAAATCTAAAAAGAACACAAGACAACTTTCATGGGTTTAAAGCTACAGGGAAAAGCACAAGCCAGAAAGAATGTGAGTTTCAAAAAAATCCAGTAAAATTTCAAAATTGAAAAGTAACGACAAAAAAAGATTAGAAAAAATATGGAATATTTGGGAAATTTGAAAGAACTACAAGAATTTGAAAGAACTGCATGTGTGATCTGAAGACTCAAAAAAAAGATGAGAAATATTAAGAATTTCAAAATAACAATGGCTAATACATGTTCCCAAGTTAGTGCTACATACCAAATCACTGATCTACTACACTCGTTGAGCAAAAAGAAGAATAAAAACCAGAAATGTATAGCTAACTATATCATTTTCAGCTACAGAAAATATAAAAGAAAAACAACCTGAAAGAAATTGAGGGGAGGGGGAGTTATTTTTCAAGAAGCAAATATCACATTTATTTTTTTCTTCTCTTCAAAATCAGGGAAAGAAGATGGGGTGAAACATTTGCAATGTTGAGGGAAAATAAAATCAAAAATTTTGTATTCTATGAAAATT